AGTGCCTGGAGATCCCCCACCCTCCTCAGAGAGGTGATAGCGAGGAGAAAGGTCATTTTAAGGGTCAGGTGCTTGGCCTCAGCCGACTCCAGGGGTTCGAAGGGGGCCTCAGCCAGTGCTTCGAGAACCACTGCCAGGTCCCAGGTGGGAACCCTGGAACGAGTCACGGGTCGTATCCTCCGGGCTCCACGGAGGAAGCGCACGACCAGCGGAAGCCTCCCCAAGGGCCCATCACTCAGAGGGGCGTGGAATGCTGCAATGGCAGCCACATACTTTGAGCGTGGACGGGGAGAGGCCAGCGGAGAAACGGTGCTGGAGGAACTCCAGTATCACAATTACCGAGCAGGTAACTGGGTCCACCGCCTGTTCACCAGGCGGTGAACACATTCCACTTTAGGCCGTACATCCTTCTCGTGGACGGGGCTCTGGAGCTGAGCAGCGTTTCGACTGCTCCTGTCGTCAGACCCGCCTCTAAGAACTGCGCACCCTCAGGGGCCAGACCCATACCTGCCACAGGGCGGGGTGCGGGTGAAAGATCTGGCCCTCCGCCTGGGACAGCAGGTCTCTCCTCAGAGGGACCTGCCAGGGCGGGCGATATTAAATCCGAGAACCACACTCGTCCCGGCCAAAACGGGGCTACTAGTAGTAGGCTGACGCCGTCCTGGCGAACCCGCTCCAGAACCCGCGGGGAAACGCCCGGGGAAACGCATACAGACGTGGCCTCGGCCACTTCTGTACCATGGCATCCGGCCCTAGCAGGACGTCATTCGACACGGCTTGGTGGGGAGCGCCGGCGTCCGGAGGGATGAGGCGAGGTTGGGAGAGAGGTAGCTAGCCAGGCCTCCTCCACTCGTGGCATCGCTCCGTAGCCGTGCTGTCTGATTCCCGTCACATTGCCGTAGTCCAGCCGGGGGGACGTAGACAGCCGTGGCCAATCAATGTGCAGCTTGGCCACGGCCCGCGTCACCACTTCCAACAACTCCTCGTATCCTGGCGAGGGCTGATGACGTTCCTTTCCCTCAATGCTAAGCACATCTAGCTCCTCAGAGCCAGATCGTGTCAGCCTTTCCGGAGGCCTGTGGAGCCTTCCCCTCGAGTGGGAGAAACCGAGAAACGGGCTCCCGATCGGGGACGAGGGGAGGAGGATTCCGCGGACGAGGACCGGAAAAAGGCCTCAGCCGTTCCGGCACCCTCGGCGATCTCGCATTGTGATCCCCAGGATCGGAGCCGCCGCGACGCCTTAGCGACCGCGGGGCCTGTGCCACGAGGGGAGCGCATCCAACCATCCTCTAGGAAGAGAGCCGCTCGAGACCTCAGCATCCTCAGGGGCAGGGCCTCGCAATGGTCGCAGGCAGCCCCCTCGAGAGCCGCCTGAGCATGCGACATCCCCAGGCATGAGATGCACATCCCATGGGTATCACCTTCGGTGATGAAACGTCTCGATGTCAGGTAGGAAAATGGAGCTTCCAAACATAGCCAGAGTGCCTGCTGAATAGAAAGAAGCTAATGTGTCCTATGTGCCAGCGTGCTTATATACCCCCTCCAGTTACGCCGTCACACACTACCGTTCTAGTTACATCAATAGGATTGGAGTAGTTTCATTCGTAGTTCAGCCCTGCCACGCCCAGGGGCGTTCCCATAGTGTCGTCACCGACGCAGTTCGAGTTCCCTCAAAGGGGAACTATAGTATTTTGCAACAGACAATGTTAGCAAGTGATTGGCGTTATAGCCAGCAAGCTAACGGTACCTAACTTCAGCCAACTAAGACACAAAATCACAATATATCTCACACACTTTGCAGTAATTAGCTTACCTGCCCACAGGATGAAAGCCAACTCAAGTTGTTTTTTGGTGTGAGTGGACTCCATTTTGTTAGCTGCAGTTTTGTCTCTGTGTGTACAGAATGAACTTCACAGCCTACATAAACCAATTGATTATGTGGAAAATCTGAGCCAATTTCTTCACATAGGAAGAAGCATACAGGCTGTCAGAGGTAACTGAGAAAGCAGGCGAATGGTTCATTTTTATGTGAAGTTACAACCCTTGGCAATAAAAAAGTGATTAATTTCATTAAAAAACTACATATAGCCCTTTAAATCCCTAAATCTTTAAATTCCAGTTTTAATAGCTGTTCTGTTCTCTGACAGCTTGGAAATCAACATTTTAAAGCTTGCAAAACTATGTTGTTATGGCATTTTTGCATATTTATTTTTTCTTGGAACCTTCAATATCAGTTCCTGTACTGTAAATGGATTGATTATGATTGGTGATCCTTAATTGCAGTGTACATTGCTTGTGAGTCTTGCGCGTCGGGTCAGCAATGTCCTCAGAACTTCAATTCAATGCAAGCAACCCTGTCTTCTAGAAATTACATTCACCAGTAACTTTTTCGTGTTAAATTTATTTAGCAAGAAACATAATTACATAGATTATGTCTAAAAAGATTTAAAAAACGGTACCCTATAGAATTAGTAGTGCTATGGAGCGGGTTCCATTTTCTTTGTACCACGTATGAGCACGCCCACATGAGCACATGGGCAACATGATTCACATCCCACCACTGGTTTGAAATAAGTTGTCAGTGCACGTTATGCTGATATGTTCAGTATAAACATTTGCGACTTACGTAACACATAATAACCCATAAAACCTGTTTTCATAATGTGGATTCAAACATAATTCAGGTGCACTAGATATCCTTCAATACGTATTTTCTGTTGCCAATTAGTTGCATATGACACATAATTTCTAGGAGATATGTTTGATTCAAGAGTATTGCAAAGTCGGATCTCAAATATGCAGTTACCTTTGGTTTGGGCCTGGAGAGAGGTAACTCTAACAGGCCCTGTTCAAAGGACATAATAGGGAGAGCAAGGGCGAAAGTACCATTTTTCAGAAAAACATGATTTTAAAAGATTATGTTGTAGACAGTGATATATTTTTGCTGTGGTCACTAACTCAAAGGTGTGGTCTATCAATATCAGGTGGTATTTTGTACAAATGACTTCTGTATAATTTCACTTTAAACATAAGCGGCACATTGTTACTTTCGACCCATCAGTTGGGTTGAAAGTAACACAACTAGATTTTTTGTGTTTCCCTTATTCTTATTAAATATATGTGACTATGACCTTGTAATATGTATTTTGTCCTTTATCTTTGCAAAAAATTTATAAATTACATTATTATATACATTACAACTTCAAAAGTAACCCAACATATACATGATCAAAATGTTTTTTATTGGCAATGTCAATCAATTTTATAAAACATTTCTCTGAACAATATGAAAATTAATATTCATAAATAAATATAAATTCTCAAAATAATGCAAAAATAGTCATGTTTCTATCCAGCTGTTTTTATACGTAATTGCATGAAAACATCTGGCTGAATCAGACTTCTGTCTGTCTTTCTGACCCTCACTCTTGGAATAATCTGTTGGTATAATATAACATAAACATGTTTCAATACATGCTGCAACACGGAGAAAGTCACCACATTAGCAGCGGGACAAAAGAAACACTTGTTACTAACAAGTAAAGTAACAAGTGTTACTTTCGTCCCGACAGGAACTCCTGACATATCAACACGATTTATTTTTCCACTGAAAAACTTGACAGGGCAAACTTCAGGGTGTGTTACAGCACTAAAAAATAACCTGTTGATTAATCATTACTGTGACATATGAAACGAGAGACACAACTTGTAATTCGAAAAACAGTACCGCTTCAGAAATTTACTTGCTGTGCTCGAAAATCGTTTTCCAAAGACGGCCGTGGGAAACAATGACGAAATCATGCGATGTTTGGCAGCTCCATCAAGGGTTGCGTGCTGTCACAGCTTGTACTGCAAATGCAGTCAGGGCTCTGAGAAAATCGCCTTGTTACTTTTGTCCCATGTTACTTTTGCTCCGGTTTTCCCCTACTGACCTACTAGTCTTGTAGGGCTTTTCATACAGGAAATGAAGCAACTTGGCAAACACATGGATGCTTCATTCATTCTTCACACACATTCGATGCTTTATCATCTTTGTAATTTTAATGGCTGCCTTTGTGAGACTAATGCAACTTGAAACATTCTTTATAGCTTGTCAAGTTGTTTGACAGTAACAAAATATAAACAAATAACCACAATTGACCAGACATGCATGGGGACAGGTTCAAGATATGTCTTGGAAAGTTGCCTCCTCCCTTTAGCAAATTTCCACATTACATAAGTATGTCTACTACCACACTAGCTGTGTATAAAAGCCTTTGGAGAGTGAAAAATAATGTCAGGCAGTAGCCTCCAAAGATCTAATTCCAGACACAAAGAATATGATTCTTAGGACTGTTAATGTAAGGATATGTGGTAACTTAACTCCATAAGAGGATCTTTGATTTATTCTCTCTCACATTGTCTCTGCCTCTTTCCACCGCTGTCAGTCCTAGTCTCGGTCTCATGAGCAGGCAAGTGTCAAATCATTTATTTCATGGTGGGACTGGAGGTGGAGTACTCTTTTATCACATCCCAGCTGACATTAGCCTTCAGCCTCTGGCCCCTTACATCTCACTCTCTAATGTCCTCTCAAATAGCAAGATTCTCCCTAACAGAGTAACTGTAAAATACAAACTCTTTCCTCAACTCTGCAAGCACACACATTCCTGAAATTACAATTTGGGTCACTAGATTTCAAGACCCGCTCTTGCTGTGCTATTTTAGATGTTTCAGTGTAGAGATGAGACAGCACTCTACACTGCTTTCTTACCTGCACACTATCAAAGATTGCCTCATGCTTGGTATCTAGGTGTCCTGGGTTGCACCGTACATCTTTCTCCACATTACATAACATGACAAATTTGATCCCAGTGGGAACAAGCTAATAATACTCCAGAGTAAATGGAGAAATGCTGAAGTGGGTTTCAAGCAGCTTGTGTAACTCCTAAAGCCGTGACTATAACAGCGGTGAGCTGAGAGCATTACTGTCACACTGAACCCCATTAAACTCACAAATGAAATGTTCCCAAACACATTTATTGTTACCAAATCTGATTCAATCACCATTGATGAATTATGCACTACTGATACAACTCTGTACAGTGATTCAATATCAGCACAATAATAATGAATTGTTTTCTTACACAGAACCAATGATGATTAGGATGCAGATTTCAAACATTTCCATGATTGTGACAGATTTCTTCTGCTAGAAAAAATGGCTGTAAGTTTGTACATGCAAGATATTCATTCATTCAGTGAAGTTCACACATGAGATTTTCACATATGAGATTTCTTTTTGGTTATTGTTGAGCATTAAATTCCCTGATGTTTGTTATTGGGTCAACTTGCAGTACATGACAGCACCCTTGATATTAAAAAATGCTTCCATGAACATGCACTGGATTGTCGATCAGTTGGCTTTAAAGGAATAGTTAGACATTTTGGGAAATTCACTTATTCACATTCTTGCTGAAATTAGATGAGAAGATACCACCATGTATGAAGCTACAGCCATGAGACGGTTAGCTTAGTTTAGCACAACGACTGGCAACACGGGGAAGCTAGTCTTGCTCTGTCCAAAGGTAATGAAATCCACCTACCAGCACCTCTAAAGCTCACTGTAGAACACATATGTTGTTTGTTTAATCATTAATTAATAATTAACAATCATTAGTGAACTTTATATTTGCTGGTTGGTATTTTTTTTAACCTTACTAAGCTAAGCTAATTCTCTCCTGTCTTTAGCTTCATATTGAAGTGGTATCAATCAATCTAACTTTTGGCAAGAGAGCATATTTTCCAAAATGTAGAACTACACCTTTAAGGGGCACTTCATGGTAAACTGCACATGTTTTTGTCATTTACTATCATGTTGATTGAACTATAGGGAAAACCCTTGTAAAGTCACAAAACTCATCTGGAAACAATTTAGAGCAATTGACAGCATGAAAAACATCCTCTTTATTGTGTGTCACTGCTATATCAAAGGCCTGTCAATTTTGACAGAATTACATGAATTACATGAACTGCAACAATTTTATCATGAATGAATATATAGCCTGCCTGCTGCGAAAGGCGCTTCTATCTCATTTATATGTATATTATTATATCGTCAAATTGTACAATACAGAATTCCAAACAATACACAAGACTTATAGCTGACACACTGATGAGATCATTCTATTACAAATACATTATACCCTGAAAAGATAAGCCGGCACAGTATATCGGGTCTGCTATAATCATAATGCTTTTTATACTAAATCTCTGTGTTTGGCATCCCATTCATTTAGTCTATACTGAGTTAATAAATACACACATGATTCTTTCATTCACAGTTGCTTAGACAAAAATAACTAATATTATAAAACACTAAAAATAAAACTTGTACAGAATGAACATTGTCTGACACGATGCACAATGCAAATGACTCACATAATAAATGATAAAGTGCATTTCTCATACTTGAGGCAGATTATTATCACAATAGATTCAAAATAGATGCTGAAAAATAAATATATGTAACACCGCAGAATCAAATCTATGGTAAGAACTGTTCCATTAACTGCAACATTTGTAATCCACATTATTCCAATGAGGTGTAGCAAGATTTCTAAACACACAAATAACACACTTGTAAATTAACAGATGACTAACCGACTAATGATATAAAAAAACAGCATTAACTGTGTGGTTAGTGTATTTGTCAGTGCAGTTCTGGAAATGCAATAGGTTTGGTTCCTGAAGTTGTTGAAATGCTCATAAAAACCCTCTGAAGTAAAGTGTCAGGAAAGAGGCTTGACAATAGTCGAAGGCAAGACAGAGAGGCCAGAGGACAGGATGTGGTTTGTTGTGGCACTATAATGGCCCTTTCCCTCAAGACCCATAGTATGTGGGTTTGGTTCAATCCTGAAAACTGCTTTATTGTGCAATGGAATAATTAGACAAATGTGGATGGAGGTAAAAAATGTTGAATTTGATTTCCGTTTACAATTCTCAATAACAAAGATTGCAATCTGTTTTAAATATCTGGTTCAATATGTTTGAATGAACTATTTTTGTTAAATTCACATGGACTTTACATTTGATTTAACGGAATAATTCGACAGTTGTGGACATAGAGTTGATACCACTCTCATGGATATACGGTAAATTTGAAGCTTGAACCAAGAAACAGTTAGTTTAGCCTAGCATAAGACTGGAAACAGGAGGAAACATCTTCTGGCTCTGTCCAAGGCTCGCACATCTAAAGCTCACTAATTAGTATAGTAGCCAGCATCTCGTTTGTTTGTTGTACAGAAAGCTAAGTGTAAAAAATAAAAACAGGTTGTGCTTTTACATCCAAGAAATACTACACTATATTAACATAATCTCTCGTAAAACCACAACTCATCCAATGCGTTAAAGGAGACCTATTATGCTTTTCCATATTTTATGAATTATCTACAATGTTACACTGTTCCCCCTGTTCTGAATGCTCTGTTTTGAACAGCTATTTCTACCAATGGCTCGGTATGATGTCATTTCCATATATGGTAATTTGCTCCAGGCAGAGAATGCTGGCGACACCCACATGCAGCCCCATCCCTGCGGCAACCTGGGGCGAGGTCTTTGCTGACAAAACGTAGCAAAGCGTTTTTTTAACGGTTGGTTCCCTGAACACGCTGTTGTGTACACAAGCACACTGCATTTCCGTGCCTTCTTAACACTGTTGTGTTTACAAATTTGTTGCAGCTGATTGGGTAACACCTGAGACACACCCACCAAACGGGAGGAAACATACCTCGAAGCCCATTGCAGAACGTTGTGCAACGTTGCAATGAAACATGTTGTTCAATCCAAAAATGTTGCAAACCGTTGCAAAACGTTTTGAAATTGAACTCGCCCATGGTAAACACATAAGACAATGGCCAATCAGAAGACAGTGGGCTTTGTAGGGAGGACCTTAAAGAGACAGGAGCATCTACAGCTTGTTTCAGACAGGGCCTGCATGAAGTCCCAGTATAAGAAAGAAAAATGTTTTCTTTGAATCATGCAAAGCTACCATAGAGGAGTCACAGAACTACAATATAGGACTGGAAATGCAGTATAATAGATCTCATTTAAATAATGAGATGCAGGATTTGTTACCTTTGGACATAGCCAGTGTAGTCCCCTTATTTCCAGGTTTCATGCTAAGCTAAGCTAACCAGCCAAGGGTTCCAGCTTCATATTTACCATAGAGATGTGGCATCTATCTTTTTGGCAAGAAAGTAAATACGCATATTTCCCAAAATGCCAAACTATTCCATTAAATTCAAACTTACTGGAAAGCAGCCACAAAACATTCGCTTGTTGCTGTTTGAATGTGCTGTTTCAATGCCTCAGGTCTTCTCACCATGTGGGGGGGACTGTTCTCGCTGAAAGAGCAGGGTCACACCCTTCCTGAAGCGGTGGTCCCTGACACTGTAGATAATGACATTACAGCAACTGTTTCCTGTCAGGATCCAGAAGGCAAAAAAGGAAAAGTTACACCAGGTGTATCCCACCACGTTACCGAGCACAAACACTGCGATCGGAGAGAAGGATGCTGTGAAGGCGAATGTTAGTATGCCAATTGTCTTGGCAGCTTTGATGTCTGAAAAGGAGGGCCTGTGAGGGCACCCTCCCCCTCCTCCTCCTCCTCCTCCTCCACTACCTCCTCCTTGTCCTCCTCCATCACTCAGACTCCCCTCTGAGAGCAGTTTGCGTTTTCGGGTGTACCGTCGGATGCTAGTGAAAGACACAATGTTAACTGCTAATGTGCCACCTAGCAGAGTGAAGTCAAATGCTGGGAATAACAACAAAATGTTGGCATCAGGTGGCAGCTGGCTTCCAAACAATAGTGGGGTGTAGTTACACATACGACTGCACTCATTGTACTCCAAAGTGAAGTTGCTGCTGAAGATGAGGGGCGCAAGAGCCAGCAGGAAGCTGGCAGCCCAGGAGAGCAGGATGAGAAGCAGAGTTCGTCTCCGTGTCACCAAGGCATCCTTGTGGAGTGGCCGTAAGATGGCCACACTTCGCTCCAGTGTCATGAGGAAGATGGTGCTGATGGAAACAAAGGTGCATCCAGCGAACACTGGGCCAATCAACATGCAGGGCTGCCAAGGGCTCACTTGTCCGCTGTGAGAAGAGGAGGTGGCAAGGGAAGTAGAACTGCCCTGGTACCAAATAGGAGGAACGCTGGTCACCATCAGAGAGATCTCAGTGTAGACAGAGAAAGGGACTACGAGGACACCAACCATCATGTCTGCCATAGCCAGAGACACTGTCAGAGAGAGACAACAAGAAGAAGAGGTCTAAGGAGAAGCATCCAGGCTTTTTCTTTGTCAGTATATTTCCAGCTATAGCGTAATTAAAAAGTGCAGTGTTTTTAAACTTGATTTTTCACTGTAATGTTAGTATTTTGGATTAAAATTGAGAGGAGTCAATCAGAAGAGGCACTGTAATAAATTACCAAGACTAGATATTTGTAGGTTGATATATTTTCTTTAATTTATTGTCAGAGTACTGAATATCTTCTGGAAGGAACTGTCCCTGTTGATTATCATTGTGGAATGCATAAGCGTAGCAACACTGATTTACAATTGGCTGTTCAGTTTAAATAACCCTCTGAAATGGAAAACATTCTGCAACCAGCAAGCATTTAGTGGTAAGATGGCAAAGAACATTTACCTTTTAGGTATCCCTGTGGTGTTCGCGACTGCCTCGTTTGCACAAAGACAGTAAGGGTGACCACATTTCCAACCACGATGGCAAATGCAAGGCTGACCATGAACACCACTGCCAAGGTGCGATTGAGAAATCCACAGCAACAGAGGGTACAGAGGGGTGCCAGTGACTGGCCTGAACCGAGTCCTGCCTGAGAAACTGCAGTCAGGTTAAACGAATAGTCTGTAGTTGGCAGCAGAACTGCTGTGCTCCCAGGAACACTGACGTTGGGAAGCAGAGCAGTCATGGCCTAAGATAGACTGTTTTTACCCCTTGTGATGTGTAGCTGGTAGGGCCACTCAGGAAACCATGTCTTGGACTGAGAAATAATCCTAACGAAAGAAAAAATAATTATCATTTCCAAAATTATTAAAATGCAAAGGACATTGCAAGTAAATATTTCACTTGTGCACACTTACTGTACAAAAGCAAATGCATTATTACCAGATTTGTTTTTTTCAAGAAATGGAACCCAATTGGTTTTGTTTTACATGGGCTGATTTGTGCAAATCTTCTCTACTAATGGAGATCCAGCTGTTGAAAGAGACCAAACTTTAATATATCACCAATCAAGAAATAGTTATAGATACTATAAATACTTTTCTATTGCAGAAAATCACATTCAATTTGTAATTTCTCAAGATTCATCCCTAAGGGCAGACATTTTGACCGTCTGGTGTTTCAGGGCAGAACATGTTAGCCCCTTTTTTAATGGAAATCATTAACACTTAACACTTTGACTTGCCCTCTGCAGTGTGTTTCGGCTGCAAATGTCTGCATCTAGGGTAATCATAGTGATTCATATTAATTGCCAAAACCCAAAGCACCATCTAGTCTTGCTGGATGGCTTTTAGCTTGAAACCCATCTCCTGTCAAGCTAGTCATTTATTTGGAGTTACTACTTTGTAAAGGTCTTTGCTTTTGACCGATATATCATCCTGTACTATCTGCATAACAAAAAACAACTCATACACCTAGCTGCTATTCATTATGTTGATAAATGTGAATTTCATGGCTGTACATTAAACATATCTCCAAAAATAGCTTGTATTTATTGTTTTACAGTAATGCCGTGTTATATATTTAGCCAATCACATAATCCAATAATTTACTGATCTTTTGGAGAGCTAAACCTGTAAACTCTTGAAAACATTAGGGTATGTGCCATGTTTAAATGTGTGGGGATGTGGTGTGTTAATGTTGCAGTTTACCCTACAAATGTTTTAGATAAAATTCTGAATTCCTTTAGATTATACAGTCTTTGCTGCAAAAACAGGCATATACATGGTGGTCTTGTCTACAAAGAATTCCAAACAGAGTATGGACAGTGATTTTTTTTACATGTGTGTCCTGGTTACATGCTGTTCTTATGCCCTAACACTGTTGGAAGCACCCCGATGCTGTCAGTACCCATGTAGTAACTTTAAATTCAGTACCAAATGTCTTTCTCAGCTGACAACTAAATACAAGGGTCCTTCAATCATTTATGCTGTTCACTGGACTGGAGACTAGGAAGGTACACACATCCAAGAAAACAAAGGGTAACAGGAATGGACATATTCAGACCAGAGCAAAACCAGACCAAATCCCATGTTCTCACTCTGGCTCTGGGCGCAGAAACACAGTCAACGAAACATCACAGCTGTCATCAGCAGTGAATTAGCCTCTGAATAATGAGACGTTCTTGAGATGCACAGAAAAACACTTGTGGGTGTGCGTTCTGTGACCAGCACATTGTTCAGGGTTTAATGCAGCATCAGAGGATTTGCATACAAAAAGACAGAAAAATTTGTCTGACCTCACAACTGTTTGATTACTTTGAATTTGAATATCAGTCTTATTTGTACAAGTCAGTTTTATTTGTACAGCCTGATGTCACAAATCATAATTTGCCTCAAGTGGCTTTACAATCTATACAACATACAACTTCTGTCCTTAGACTCTTGATCTGAATGAGGAAAAACAAAAGAACAACAACCTTTCAATAGGGTACAAAATGGAAGAAACCTCAGGAAGAGCAACAGAGATCTTGCAGAGTGGTGCACAGAGAACAACCTGCTCAATGTCAGCAAAACCAAGGAGATGATTTTCGTTGATTTTAGGAAAAAGGAGATACAGAAGACACACACCCCTGTCTAAATCAGTGGAGGTGAGGTGGAGCAGGTGAACAGTTTTAGGTTCCTGGGAATCAACATCACAGAGAACCTGACGTGGTCATCTCACATCTACACGCTGAAAGCTCAGAAATGGCTGTAGTACTTAAGGACTTATTATCTTTAACAGAGGAGTAAAATAAAGAATCCTGAGTGGAATCAACACAAACTGGCATGGGATTTCCACAGCCAAGAACAGCAGAGCTCTGCAGCAGGTAATTAAAACTGGTACCCATCTACCAAGCATCAGTGATATAGGTGAAGTAAGGTGTCTGTGCAGAGCCCAAATGGAGTTTTTCACCTCTTTTAAAGCCCCCCTCCAGACAGTTTTAACTGCCGCTTTTGGTTAACGTTCTTTCTCAAACAGAGAATGGGGGTGTGGTTAATAGTCAGACGTAATCAATTACCATGACAACCAAAAACTGACCGGCTGGAGAGTTGCTGTCAACGATATGCTGTGTTAACATCACTACACTGTAAAGTTAAGTACACTCTACTGTCTGGCAGGAGTAGCTATTACTTACCCATGATAGAAACTAATGTGTGCGTATTAGCTGTAATCATACAGTCGATGGTCCTGTCACGCACTGCACACAATAACTCCCACTACGTTTTATGGTGCGCTTACTTTACCGCGGAGGTGGGGGGGTCTATTACTCTGTTGAACTATATGTAAAGACTTCTGATTTCCTCCGGCAATGCATTGGTAAAACAGCCGTCAGCAAAATGCATGTTGCAGACTGCGACACGTTTTCTGTCATCTGTCCTCCAACACCACATGCACAAATGCCATAGTGAAAATGAACAGCACACTAAACCATGAGGAGGAAAATAAAAATAAAATGAAGACCCTCTGTTAGCCAACTTTCTGCAATAACTATGCTAGCTAACTACACCTGGCTAACTACAACTTAGTTAACTTAGCTAACTAAGCTAGAAAGACAAACCAACAATCAGACACAGAGAGACATACCAACTGTAAGTTCAAAGTAAATGACATGATAAATTGGTTAGCTAGCTCACAACAATGTTTATCGGTTTGATGCCTTAACAAGGCGTGACGGCGTTATAGTTTTTAACGAGGAATGACAGTGCACCTGCGGAAGCTTGGAGAATGACATAGTAGTATATAGTCATACGTCACCACCCTGTTTTAACAACTAAGCAACTTTTGCAACTTTGAGCACAAAATTAAGCTATTTGTCAAAAAATATTTGGCGAACTATGTGGGTAATCAACATTGTAAGGAAATGACTCAGAAAAATATGAAATATCAGAGAAATGTCAAAATACACTGGAGGGGGGCTTTAATGGACTTTAATGAGCACTGCGGCCTCACAGCAAGAAGGTTCTGGGTTTAGACCTCGCTCAGCCCAGGCCTTTCTGTGCGGAGTTTGCATGTTTTCCCCGTGTTTGCGTGGGTTTCCCCCGGGTGCTCTGGTTTCCTCCCACCAAGACATGCACGCTAAAAATCCATAATTATGCCAAGTAATCATCTTATCTTTTTCTTCAACAGGAACCACAGGGGGCTTCATAAGCAAGCCGCTTATCAAGACGAGCCCTCACTGTGAGTCTCAGCCCCCAGGTTCCTAGCCGCTCCGGCCACCAAAGCCTAAACAACCCCCTTCATCCCTCCATTCTTCACCCCTTCATCCCTCTCCCCTTGTATTTCTGTATTTATATAAAGATCAGCTGGCTCTCTGGTGCAGCCAGAACAACCTAGAGCTTAACATGCTCAAAACTGTGGAGATGATCGTGGACTTCAGGAGGAGCCTCCACACTCTGTCCACCATCACCAACTCAGCCCTGTGTCTGCTGTGGAATCCTTCAGGTTTCTGGGATCCACCATACCCCAGGACCTAAAGTAGGAGCCCAACACGGACTCCATCATCAAGAAGGCCCAGCAGAGGATGTACTTCCTGCGCCAGCTCAGGAAGCTCAACCTGCCTAAAGAGCTGCTGATCCACTTCTACACAGCCATCATCCAGTCTGTTCTTGATTCTTGATTTTATTACTGTATTATTGTGTTATTGTATTATTGTATAAGTAAGCAAATCATGTGCATTGTCCAATCCAGAGTCAAATTCAAATTCAGCAATAAAGCTGATTCTGAAGGGAAACAAAACGCTGGCAGGTGACAAAACATAAATAAAAAATATAACAGAATGTAATGAATTATTGTATTGTAATTATTGTATTTCATTTGCTCTTATTGTGCGCCAGGATTATTCAGTATTTTCATTTGTTAGTTAAAATCCTTTGGTGCAAACCATTTTTCAGAACATTTTTAACAAATGCTTTCAAAAAGTGATCAGCCATTTCAGAAAGTGATGGGGACATGTCCTCAGCGTCCCCAGTGTAAATGACACCTGTGCTTGTATTTCTGGCGAAATCCCTGGACACTTTCTCCTCTCTCTACTTTTAGTGTGTCACACAAACGATCAGCACATGGTAGGGTAGGGTTTACTTTCAAAGCTCTGTTGCGTCATCATCTGACGCTGTTTGTGTTCTCTTTGTGCCCTTTTGGAGCCAGGCTTTGTATGGTTTATGTAATGTTACTTAGACTAGCTACCACAGAGAAAAGGCAAGAATGGGCAAAACAACTTTACTTAGAGGGTCAAAGGCCCTATTTAATTGAATTTTGTACTAGTCAAATTCTGTACTAACTCGAAGAGTGGCTCAGTAGAGTGCAGATCTCTGCCAAGCCTGGTATCACCAAATGGTGTATGAGTGACACACATGTCTTAAGTCATTTTGCATGTTATTGCAGTGCTTTTTTTGTGTCATTTCACACCTTTTAGTCCCAACTGACTTATATTGTGTACATACAGCATGTCATTTCACATGCGAGAAAAAATTTCAGGTGACATAATATAAAGTGCAACAAAGTCACATAGGGACAAGGTCAGGGTTGATGGATGGGTCAAACCAACAAAGGACTTTTACCCAGGAGACAGCTGTTTGTGTCCCATGTGAAACCCTGTTGGTAACTGCCACCTTTGTCCAGGAAAAAACGTCTAAAATAACATACCTAAAATGAATCAGGAAGATGCATCTAGGCCAAACATTTGGCCTAGATGCATAATGGTCTCATTTGAAAGGTCAGAAGCTATGGAATATAAATCCATTGTAAATTAACATTTATTTTACCATTACAAACTAAATGGATACGCAATAAAGAAAAATATGATATTTTCATCCTCGCCTGGCAAAAAAGCTATATTTCTAATGCAATAAACCATCAAAACCATCATCGAATATATTATAATGCAACTGAATATGGTAAAAGTAAGTCAGCGGTTGTAATGGTATAGGTATATTAGTTTCTTTGTTGTTACTTTGATCCAGCTAATTAGTCTATAATTTTGATGATTTGAGTGA